TTTAAAAAGCAATGCAGATAAAAGAAAAGCCTATTGATTTTTACCACATTTTCAGATTTTACCACATTCTCACACTGTTATTTACTTTTTTATATCATTTTTTAGCTTTATATCTTTTTTTTCTCAAACCATTGTTCACCAGACTCAAACCCCATTATCGCGGTCAACTCCGCTCTGCGTCCTAAGTCCGCCGACGTGTTTACGGAGCTACCAGACAAACTGGTAACAGCGGGATAGCTGTCCATATGGAGGTAAACAGCCAGCTGGTAAGCACGAAAAGGAACAGCATCATACCGCCTCGTAGCATTTGTTTAAAACATGAACAGCAGCCATAAGTATTTCTGGCTACATAATTTGCGATCTCCAGAAACGCATATAGGGCTATGTTTTCAGAATGAGCCTATGTTGTATAAAAGCAGCACAAAGAAGAAAACAAAAAAGGTGCCAAAACAGAACCTTGTGGTATCCCTAGATGAAATAACGAATCACAGCCTATTATTTTACTTTATACAGCATTGCTTGAAATCATTTGACATGTTTAAATGTTCTATAGAAATAAACAAGTTCTTTTTTGGTTTAATAACTGTGAAAGGTTCACAGGGTTAATTCTCTAGCAACCCCCTTCACTTTCCTTGCTTATTCTATCTGGCTCTATTTCTTCAAAACTTCTTGTCAATCGTCTGACTGAAGTCGTTAGGTGAATGAGCAAGTAATCTGTGGTTTGCCTGCAGCTGTGAGGCCCGTCTAAACAGGCTTGTGGTCGGAAGATCTTCGAAGATTAAAGTGATCCAAAATGTGTAAGATCAAGGCCTTTGTTGTGACAGGTAAATTTAAACGCTAAAACGGCTTCTGATTTTGTCTGATAAATTTAGCTGGGAGATGCTTGATCTAGATGTTAACAGTCTATTCACAACTGTGTGCACCCACAAATCACCTTTCTAGACACACTTGCTTCCTGTATCCACACATGCACCGGCGCATTGTTTGTCTTTTGACTTAGCAGGAATCGCTTCCTCGTGGTAAATAACTTCTAAAACAGTGCACATGTGAATCTGTCTTCCTGCATTGGGGTTAAAAATGTCATTTTTCTGGTTCAACAGGATTTAAGGAAGAGATGACATGTACGAACGTCAGAAAGATACATTAACACACCCTTACCGTAGGCCTGTTCTTGCAACAAATTACAGTTAAATTCATTCTATAACATCCCATTATTCTCCTGCTTTTAATAGAAGTTAAAGGTGAAAGTTCAGACATCGTGACCTAAGAGGAAAAATGGTAACACCATAAATGTTTGGCAAGGTTTTGCCATTTCTCTGTGACTTTTTTTTTAGAAATTTCAACCCCACACAGATAGTAAAAGCTCCCCTGACACAAAGAAAGAACAAAATTTGTGGAACAATGCCACAAATGTATGTTTCCGATTCATTGTATTTCACTACCCCCTCCTCATCTCCTCCTGGAGGTCTACGCTTAAAGGGTCACGAAACACCAAAACACATTTTTTGAGCTATTGACAGTCGTATATGTGTCCCACACTGCTAAAAACACTATTAGGACACCTATATTTCACTAAAAAGTGTAAATTGGTTGTTTTTGCGTTATTTCAAGCAAATTCGTACTTCCTGTTTGAAACGAATTTTTGAAGCTGCGTCACGGTCATGACATAATAGCGTTGTATTCCAGCGTGCAGACTGGACGTCTGTGCCAGAGTGTGCCTTATTACGTCTTACAGTGTGATGCATTAATGCATGAGTAAGCCTTGGTTCAAACCAATCAGCGCGCTCTATTGTGCAACTTCATTAATATTCATTACTGTCACCGTCTTTACACCACAGAGACGCCACGTTGTGTTGGCAAAACAAGCGTGAAGTGTTGCTTTTAAATTTTGCTGCAGTTAAGTTTCGTTTTCATTTTCTCTCTGTGAGAGCTCAGACTCACGTGTGGATTAACAGTGTACGCGACGCGCGACAACAATAACTTACGTGTCTAAGGAGGATTATTGTTTACCTGAGAGCTGTTCTCATCTGCAAACGCTGAGATCCGGATTCCGGATGTAGTCTTCTCTTCAGACGCGGCTCTAGTTGCTGGTGATTGTTCTGTCTCTACAGATTTGGTAAGTGAGCGACCAGTGCTCTTTGTTTATTCAGTTTGTTCGTATCGAATTAAGTTAACTATTGCACTGAGGGCAAACATGTTAGCACCGCATTTTGTGACCGGAATAACACACGCGGCTTTCTGACGTTACCTGCCGTGTGCGTCTAAGTTTCCGGGAAATGCTGAGGTTTTTTTTTCTCTCATTCACCGTGCGGTATAAAACATTGCATGAAAAATACACGCTTAGAGCAGATCCTCGAATCAAATATCGTGTTTGTCGCGAGGGACATGAATGAATTCCCTGAATGAAAGAGCCAAACTGCAGTTAAAGTCCACCAGTTAATAATTTGGCAAATAATTCCACTACAGATGTCCATGTAGGTTAAACACCATCTCTTTCTCCTGTGTGTATTTTGACTGAAACTCGCGCGTGCCCAAATAGACACTCCCACACCCTCCCACTTTAGTTCCTCCGACACTCCCCCCTAAACAGAGCTGGACACCCCCACTTTTCTGACTTTTTCCAAAGTGGAGGTGTGAAAACACCCTGCTGAAACGAGGGGGTTTCATGGCCCTTTAAACAACTACAGTCAAGTGCTAATATTGAAAGAGGAGGACACGCTGAATGAATGGCGGACACGCTGCATTAAGGGACACCCATTAGCAGGAGACAATAGGGAATATCTGTCAGGTCTCGCACATGCACATCAAACATGAGGATTATAATACCTCATACAAGACATGTTGTTCCTGATGGGATTAAAGAGGACACAAATGTCACAGATAATCTATAATGGTTATATTATTTTCTTGTTTGAGCCATTCTGGTTTCTAGGTTATAACAATGTATAAGCTATCGGTGAGAACAATGAGTGCGTGTGTTTGATCACACAGTACGAAACTACTTTAGAGCATCTGTAACAAGTTTAAAGATAAATACATTAGAATGAATCTCTCTGAAAGACATAGAAGTGCTAAAGAACACAGCCATAATCTCTATACCTAATTAATTTACTGTATGTACAAGAATGCAGCTTTAGAGTTTGGTTATTTCTTTCTTTTGGTCATTTCTTTCATTTGTTTCTTACAGTTTTTTTTTTTTTTTTAGGAATAAATTGCTTAAAAGAACAACGAAAACTGTGAAATTGAATCCATTTAATGCATTCAGGAAATACTATTGGAAATGGAATGATATACTTTTTCATCCAAACACTTTTAATGCTCACAAAACCTTGGCTTCCTCTCTTTATCTGCCCAATCTCTGTCATTAGCTTTGTTAATGTATACTTTAAGCATGCTGTGACCCATTTAAGCTGTATTTCCTACCCCCCGCATATAGCTTCTCTACCCCCCACGTTTCACCCTGATGCCCTCTACTCCAGTGGGGCAGAAGAAGGAAGAAATGCCCGGAGGGTCCGAGAAGCCATTCTGTTGCTTAGTTCCACTTAAAACACTTACAGAGCAAAGCAAAACAACATGATTGGCTTCCTAAGCCTTCATTTATACACACAAAACAGACTACACATGCAGTATCTTATCAAACCAATAAAGTGTTAAAAAATACAACAACACGCATTCATGCCTGAACACACATGCCCCATTTCACTTGAATAACCAGCAACTACTGAAAGGTCTGCAATTCCCAAAGAATCTCCAGTATTTTGTGTGTTAATAAAGCTGCTCATTGATCTACACCACCAAATCACTACGCTCGGAAATCAATCTGACTTTGTGATAACAGCTCGGTTTAAAGGAAGGAGTGTGTTTATTGAGTCCAAACCCTAGATTAAACAGTATATGACAGGAGCAAGAAGATAAAGTCCAGATATGAGCTCTTAAAGGAGACAGGTAGTCTCTGTCCAACGCGTCTTGGAGGGAAGTCAGTGTGGGAAGAGTGTGGTTTATTGTTTGCACTGTTTGCTCCTAGAGTGAAGTCTTTGTTTGGCCCGTCTGAGTTCCTCCACAGCGCACTCTTTGGTAATTCATTCATAAAGACACTAGACTGTGGAGAGACCTCAGGCGACTGAGGAATCTTGCACCCCGTGTGCCATCTCTGTCTGACTGTGAACAGCTGAGACCTACAATACTGACCCTCTGAACCCAGACAGACTGGTGAAAATGTTAAAAGTCCACTGCATCCTAGTCTGATGATCTCTGTATAGTCTGATAGCCTCTAGTTTAGGTGTCCACACGTAATCTCTTCTAATGTTTTTCTTTGACTTTGTTGTCTCTTTTGACTGGTATCTTTCCTTAGAATCTGAGTTCAGTTGCTTTTTTAGTCTTCTCATCACAATGAATCACATTCCACAGAACTGTAGACCACACACTCCTACACAGAAATACACACTGAACGATCCTGGAGCTGCTCTGTAAAACTTTTAAATGAGGCACATTATTCATGAGGTAGCACAGTGGAAGTTAACAAGGCAGTAAAGCATTTTTACATGCTTAAACTCAGAATTTAAGCACAGAGACACACAGGTTTCATTTAAAATACAAGACAATTTGTGGCACATGAGCAAAAATAGAAAGCGTTTTACTCTGTCCGGTGAGAAAATTCACACGCACACAAAAAGACGGCATGTGTGAGAGAGAATATATACTGACGGATCCTCCTCCTTGGCTTGCAAACAATTCTGTCTGGATAGGGGGCTTTACAACCACAGAACCATTTGTCCCAAAACAAACCCCACAAACAACACTGAATATTGATTGTCCAGCATGAGACATGCTCTATGGCAAGTAAACCTTATTAACCTAGTATTGTGGCATTCATCACTGTCAACCTTCCACTAAAGCGCAGGCAAAGGGGACTCAACAGACAAGACACCAATGTGCAACTGCAAAGCCATCCCTGAAAGGCAGGAAAGCAGCATGAAAATACAATTTGCAGTGTGACATACCTATAGGGTAGATCTTAGGTCCGGTATTGTTTCTTCAGTAAAGTATCCTAACATCAGCACTTTGGATGTCTCCTAGCTCAGTTCCTACAGGTAATGTCTCCTCCAAGTGCTGGCTGTAATCCTGTGAGTCTCTGTGTTTCTCGTCTGTCAGAACTCCACAACACACTCACTCCAACCATGTGAGGATGAGTCTGTCCGCTGAGAGCGCAGAAAGGGGTGTGTGCGCACGCTCTCTCTCTCTCTCTTTCTCACATTTGCTCAACCCTCCCTGTTCCTCCATTTGGTTCTCCTCCCCCCTCTCCCTCCACCTCCCCCCTCCGTCTCTCTTTCTCATTTCAACTCCTCTGGATCAACAGTATCTGCCAGCACGCAGCCTGGGTCTTTACCCCTAAGCCTTAAGACACCCTGTTTCCTTTTAAATTGCTTGCCAGTGAGCCCCTTAGATAACACACTTGCATACACAAGACAAACATATGTACATATGCACATATTATCCAAATATAATGCATAAAAATTATATATTTTATTAATTTCACTATCAAGAATAAATCCTTTAACATAATTATTTTATTTGAAGTATGATATTATTACTCATTTAAATGTTTATACAAGCATTATAGAAAAATACTGATTTTTGACAGCGTATATTATGTTGTGGTATTATTTGAATAAACAATAAAATTAAATAATACATATTATCTTATTTTATTGCATATTTAAATTTTTTTATTATTAGAATATAATGCACATTTGTTGTATTATACGAAAAAACTAAATAAATGAACATGCGGTAGAAATCTTGAATTAAGTCAAATTAAATAAAAAATTTAAATGAAAAGTGAACGTTTTTATGTATGTGTAACAAAGCTTTTGGCAACACTCACATAAAAGAACCTATATGAGAAAATATACACATAAATGAAACCTATATGCATTACATATGCACATACATGATAATATATACGCTGCATATATGTATGCCACATATAGGCAAAATTGAGGTGCATATATGTGCATACAGGTCATGTAGGTCTCCTATTTACTTGCTTCATTACATCCACATATAAGCCCTATATGTCCATACAAGAACTAAAAAAAATGCAAAACACATATGTGTGCAAACACTTGAAATTAGTATCAAATGTAATTGACATGTTATGGAATTTACTATGGCAATTAAATCAGAGGAAATGAAAAGCTATAATTTCTACACATTTTGCTGAGACATTTACAAGGTTAATTCTTTCTTATATGAAGATAGAGGAATAGAAGGAAATGTGTATAACAAAATGGTTTGTAGTCTTTTTTATTTTGTTTTTGTTCTTTTCATTTTTTTGTCTTATTTTTATTCTTGTACTATTTATTTTTTCTTGTATTATTAGATTGTTCTTAAGTAAACAAAAATGTGCATTTATACATGGGCTTTTATTTATGTTGTCTAGCAGTTATGGATTTTTATAATTTTACTAATATATAGGTAAACATATAGGTGAACATATATGCACATTTGTACATATGCATATATGTACCTTTATAGGTTAAATGTTATAGGTTTTTTTTTTTTTTTTTGATTTTTTAAAAATATTTCCTAAATGATACTTAACAGAACAAGGAAATTTTTACAATATGTCTGATAATATTTTTTCTTCTAGAGAAAGTCTTATCTGCATTTTTTCGACTAGAATATAAGCAGTTCTTAATTTTAACATTTTAAGTTCAAAATTATTAGCCCCTTTAAGTTATATATTTTTTTTCGAAAGTCTACAGAACAAACCATCATTACCCTAACCTGCCTAGTTAACCTAATTAACCTAGTTAACCCTTTAAATGTCACTTTAAGCTGTATAGAAGTCTTGAAAAATATCTAGTCAAATATTATGTGCTGTCATCATGGCAAAGATAAAAAAAAATCATTTATAGAATGAGTTATTAAAACTATAATGTTTAGAAATGTGTTGAATTTTTTTCTCTCTTTTCGTTAAACAGAAATTGGGGGGGGGGGGGGGGGGAATAAACAGGGGGGCCAATAACTCTGACTTTAACTGTATATGAGCAATTGGAAAATGGCCAATTTTATATTTGTCACTTAAATTAAAAACCTATATCGAAACCTATATTAAAACATGCTTATACAGGTTCTTTCCATGAGGGCAAACCAGCTGCACTTCTCCCTCTTAACTTGACTTTCATTTGCATGTAGTCTGACCAAAGTTCATAACATACGCTAGATCAGGCCTGTTAGAAGGCCTATAGAGAGAAACTTCCTTGTTTTCCTCTGGATTTATGGTTGAAAACAGAGATATTGTGCAATGCTGCGGGTCATATCCGCCTCTGGCTAGTCTATCAGTGGGAGAGGGGGCCGTGGGAAACTCCACACTGATCCTGGTTGTGGAGACCAGGGATTTAACCCACAGCAAACTGCTGGGAGCCACCATAGCACAAAGAATCTAGTTTTATTATTTCAGAGACCCCACTGTAACTGCTGGTCAATAAGTAACTAGTGTTTACAAACCTGATGAATGGAAACCGTAGACATATGTATGCACGTGCATTCCTTGAGTGTTTTCTTTTATAGGCTGCCACAGAACTACCCCCTTTAGGCTGTTGTGTTACAATGGAGAGTGAAGTTAAGATTAAGTTACTACTTATCAGATTAAATAATCAGGGAAAAGGAAAGTTTTACAGCCTCTGCTTGGGCTAAAAATACGTTTACAGTAGATTAACACAAACCCTTCCATAATAATCAGCGTACATAAAAAGATATGGATGCTAACAGACAAGTAAACACAGATGCATCAGGCTGTTGTCACTCTGGTAAAGTGGCTCAGGATCAGGCTTAAGATGGGGTTGGTTGTGTGGGTCACGATTCTGATGATTAGGAGGGACAGATTTAGAGCATTTCACACAGATCAGTGAGTACAACAAAACCTGTATCTATAGTGATGTGCTGGATGAATGGGTGGAGAAAAAAGACAGTCAGAAAAGGGTGCATGCCGTGTACTAGACAACTAAACAAAGTTGCTGCTGTTAGTTGACAGCAAAATACTGTTTGTGACACATTAAAGTTTTGCATTATGGTCTCACATGGGCTTTATTTACATTTCACATTACAATACAACAAATTTTGTTAAAAAGCTTATATATTAAAAATGTATTTATTTTCCTTCAGCTTAGTACCTTATCTATCAGGGTTCGTCACAGCGGAATGCAACGTTAAATATTCCAGCATATGTTTTATGCACTTATAGCACAAGTTTTTGGACTGTGGGGGAATCCACAGCACCTGGAAGAAACCCAGGCAAACACAAGGAGAACATACAAACTCCACACTAAAATGACAACAGGCCCAGCCGGGACTCAAACCAGCGACCTTCTTGCCGTGAGGCGACAGTGCTAATCACTGAGCCACCATCCCACCCCTATATTGAATAACAGTAATTAAATTTACCTCAGAGTTGGCATGTATTCATTGTTGTGCCTGTTTGAACGTATTAAACCACATTAGCATCTACATAATGAAAAAAATCCAGGGAAATGTTTGTTACTACCAATAAAACTTTTTTTTTTTTTCAAATTTGAGCTGTCAAAACATTGTAGACTCTTTTTACATCTGTATTTAGTGCTGTCTATTTTTTTATTGAATTGATGAAATGCATCTTAATACCTGGTGTAAACAAACCCTCAATGTTCTAGTGAGAGCAGTTAAAGCCCAGCAGGCACATAAGACATTAGATTTAGGTCGATGTCAGGTGACCAAAATTCAATGTCTAGTCAGCATCTAAAGACAATAACGTCCAATAATTATGTCTAACAACATTGATATTTGGTAAATTTTAGGTTGTGTTGGAAAGTCACCAAAATCCAATGTCGAACCAACATCTTAAACCAATATATTGATGTCAAATACTGCCATTTAATCATCAGGTAACCAAAATCCAACATCTGATAGATGTCATATTGGTAACGTCCCTACAAAATCAAGCTGTAACATTGTTAGACATTGATATTTGGTTGATTTTAGGTTGGACACTGATGTCGTGCTGAAGTTGGGCTTTGACGTCAACCCAATTTTCATCTCCAAAGAAAATGCAACGTCCCCTGACATTGGGGTACAATGTCAATCTGATGGCATGTTGATGTATTGTGCCTGCAGGGAAGGTTAGTCTACCCAAAAATTTTAAATATGTTATTAATTAGGCGACGCAGTGGCGCAGTAGGTAGTGCTGTCGCCTCACAGCAAGAAGGTCGCTGGGTCGCTGGTTCGTACCTCGGCACAGTTAGCGTTTCGGTGTGGAGTTTGCATGTTCTCCTTGCGTTCGTGTGGGTTTCCTCCGGGTGCTCTGGTTTCCCCCCACAGTCCAGACATGCGGTACAGGTATATTGGGAAAACTAAATTGCCCGTAGTGTATGAGTGTCTGTGTGTGTGTGGATGTTTTCCAGAGATGGGTTGCGGCTGGAAGGGCATCTGCTGCGTAAACATGTGCTGGATAAGTTGGCGATTCATTCCGCTGTGGCCACCCTGGATTAATAAAAAGATTAAGCCGACAAGAAAATGAATGAATGAATGAATGAATAATATTAATTACCCACCCTCATGTCGTTCCAAAAATATTGTCAAGACATTCCATGCAACTTCAGTGATTCAAATGTAACATATAAAGCTTCAAGAACACTTCTGTGCACCCAAATACTGTAAATACTCTTCCACATCAAATTAGGGTGTGCATTTACTTTGCAGAAATCAACACTTGCATACGACATATTAAATGCGTTGTATTGCCAAAAAACATGCACTATGACCTGTTACGGAAGAGAATCCAAGGCAAACAAAAGTGTTCATGGAGTTTTTGTCTGATTATAGCTGAACCATTGAGGTCAATGTTTTTATAATGTGTTTGGGTCCTTTTCTAGGCCTCATTGCTGTATATGGAGGGCTGGAGAGTTCTCAAATTTCAAATATCTTAAAGTGGGTTCTGAAGATGAACAAAGATCTAATGGAATAGGAACTAGATGAGGGTGAGTAATTAATAACAACATTTTAATTTCTGGGTGACCTAATCCTTTAACATCTCAATAAAGTGGAAATGCATAAAACGACTGTAGATCTGTCTGTTCAATAGACAATGTCATCTTGCATGACTTCAGAAGACTTAGAAGGTGCATAAATTATTTGGACCACTATAATTATACTTTAATGATGCTTTTGTATCCTT